TTTCTGTACAGAAAGCATGACGCAGGCTTGGTTGTTTCACAGGGTTTTTATTCATCTTTGGTCTCCAGTGTCGGGACCAACGACAAAAACTGTTCCAAATTAAAAACAGACCACAGAGGACCTACTTGTGGGTACAGATAAATGTACCCCAAAGAATATAAGAAGTTAAATATATATAGAGAGAATGTGAACAAATGTATGTTTGATTTTGAGTTGGCTATTTTTGTGTACATCCTCAGCAGCTTTCATAAAAGTTTATGTGTTGAGTTTGAGTGTGTGAGGGAGTGTTTGTGAATTGTCACCCATCATGACATCTTTCACTCAACAGTCATTACTTGATGTGTCCCAAAATGCTTTTTGATCGGTCAAGATTGTTTTTCCTCCAAGCCTCCTTGGATTTTATCATACTAACATATGATAAAGTTACATGGCATTGCTAAAATGAAAAGGATAGGTCATCATTGACTGAATATGTTTCTGCAGACACGTCTTTTGAAAGGGTGTGGTCCAGTTGGAGTTCCACTTAGATCCATTGCATCCATAAACGTGTAGCTACCCTTTTAAGCCGGTTCTGCCAAGGATTTTGCAGCGCAGTATTGGACGTATTGGATCTCTGTGTTCTATTTGTAGCATTTATCTTTCCATTTATGTTAGCCCTGCTCATTGYGGTCCAGCATCTCAAAATCTGTTGTGTTCTGAAACCTTTTAGAGTTTGTTTAAAGCACTCAAGCTTCAAGAATCCAGGTGGATTTAAAATAGTTTTGGTTCCTGAGTCTTCTTAGAAACTTGAAAGTGGGGTATTATTTATTTTCCAGGCACATAGTTCAATTCTACACTACAATCAAGTAACTGTTACCCTCAGTTTTATGAGAATACTGTATATATCAAAAATAAATTTGATTTTGCATCATAATCTATCTAAATGCCTTGAAATTGGCCTCTATCTTTTTAGGAACCTCCTACCATTTCCAACACTCCCACATTTTCACAAAAATCCTTTTCCTCAAACATGCATAAATGAGTCAAAGCAAYGCTCTGGGTATGTTTTCGATGAAGTAATGACATTATAACATGATATAAAGCTCAAAAAAGGATAAAGATGCAAATGGATAGTTATCAAGAGAACTTTAAGGGTTCAAAGCTTTGACTCTAGACCCTTACAGCTGTCACATAGGGATGGTGAAACTGAGAGAAATTCTGCATTTAGTCCAAATCAAGAAAATAAGATTCCKTTTGAAAGAACCAAGTTCTAGTATCCCAAATGGAGTGAACCAATTCAAAAAATTTGGACCCCAAAGGTTTATATGTACTATTTATTTTTAAGACAATTCAGGAACCAAAACAGTTCAAAAACCATGAAGGGTTTCAGAACTTTATGGATCCCAGATCAAATCATAGTCCACACCTCAAAGGATTTCAGAACCTAAGTCCGGATTTATGATGATGGCAAAATCTAAAGGTTTCTACCCAATTCATATATATATATACACATACACATATATATACATATTTATGTATATATATACACTTAGCACAAAACTTATACTGGTGGAAAGCCTGTTAATTTCCCCTTAAAAYTGTACCACATTTGTAAGGAACATGCATTTGTTGGATGAGCAGCTGAGATGAGTATGTGTTGTGCACATGAAGATTCTTCTCTTCCAAACAGCTCATTTTGCTKTTAAAACTTGTTTTGAGCTTTTGGTACTCCCAGGTGCTGCCAGTCAGGTGCCCGCTAAACTATTTATTGCCAGGGAACATTGTTACAAAGAATTAATCTACCAAACACAAAGTTCATTACTTTTTGTGCTAAGTTTTTAAATATAAGGCTGAATAAAACCTAAAACTCTAAGGATGATGGAACATCTGGCAGAAGCTGTAATTCTAGAGCGGAGGAATGCAGCGAGACATCAGCAGCCCTCACTGATCGGTTTGGAGATGGGTCCCTCCATCTGTCAGCTCCCACTGTTGCCGAGTGACATTACAGCGTCAGAGAGGTTCTGTTTGTTTTGCCCACCCTCGCGCATATTCTGCCTCTCTCGTCCCAGCGAGGCAGTGACAGTCTGCGTCACCRTTCTCCTCGCAATTCCCTGGACTCCTCCCTGCTTTCGTCCCGGTTGGAGCTCACTCTCCATCTGTGTCTCTTTCCCTCTGCTTTAACCTCCCGTCTGGCATGGGCGGCGCTCTCCTTCGACTGTGTGCAGCGGGATTTTTCTTCCCTGCTTCCCTAGCCCTCCCCTCTGTTCTTCCTCTACACATGGCCCTTCCTATATTCCACCCTCCTGTTCTCCTTCTCCTCCTCCTCACCGTGTCTTTCTCTGTGTTCAGTCTGTGCGTTTCATCTCAGCAGAAAACTCAGCACTGGGTGAATGTCACTAAAAGGACTGTTAAAAACATAAAAGCTGTTATTTGACTGAAAGCCTTTTTTGTGCTTTATTTTCAAGTACATCAACTTACCATGAATGAATGAATGAATGAATGAATGAATGAATGAATGAATGAATGAATGAATGAATGAATGAATGAATTTAATTAAAATGAGATGTTTTTCCTTAAAGGACCTTGAGTTTTGGGCTATGGACAAGTCTCCCCCTGCATAGTTGGTCCTCGGGTGGCTGGTTCTGGATCACTGAGGAGCAGTAGTTCAGGTCTAACGCTGGACTTTACCCCCTGCGTGGAATGGACTGTTGAAAAATCTCGGAGCAAACCTTTCATCGCCTGACTCCTGCTTGGCTAAATAATCTCTCGGTGCTATTGAGTCAGAGCTCTACCTTGTGGATGAAAGAGGAAGAAACACACACACAACAGCAACAAACACTCCTTCACACACACACACACACACACACACATACACCTTCCTTCCCAGCAACAGTCCTTCAGGTATTCCATCATTTTACAAGAAGAATATCAAAAAGCATAAATTACGACCCATTTACAATAACTAGTCCAGTGATGCTTGTTTTAAATATTTAGTGAATGGAAAAAGACAATCCTATAAATTTCTGTGTTTGTTTGACTTGTATACTGAATTATGGGGTGTTGCTGAAGCACCTACTGGCTTTGTTTTGTTTGTTTTACGTTTTATTATAACATTGTTTTTTTTTTTCTTGATTGTTTCAGCAGCCTTGGTGGTAGATACACAAATAGCGGGCCAAAATAGCATTAAAAAACCCACAAATATTACAGGGGTATAGCAAAGGACAGAGCCCCCAAGGGGTATTTTTGTTTTTCTTTTGTGTTGCCTCGCAATAACCTTTAGGTTCCCACGAAAATTCTTTGCGTAACCTCGCAAAAATTGTTCATTACYCTTGTTCCTGAATTTTTTATTTTTAAATAAATTCACATGCACACCATTAATATTAGCCTGGTTGATTTGCCCCCACCCCTGCCAGGCAAAGCGTTATTTATTTATTTGAAGCGGGGGGGTTAAATTCTTAACTTAAAAGGGCCAGTTGAAATTAACCTCAGCATTTCATGTTTAACAAACAATAACTGAGCTCTACGTGGTTTTTCCTGTGTGGAGACAGTTTTAACCTATCCTCTTATAAAACAATGAAAAGCCTATCGACTGACTAAATGTGAAATAAATAATACAGAAGTACTATTAAAAATAAAAGTAAGAGGGTTTTACTCACTGTTGAGTTGTGATGAGTAGCTGCCGTCTTAACTTTCCCAATTTCTGACAGGAATTTCCTACTGGAGGAGTKTTCTAGTTTAACTTTACAACTTGCGAATGAAAAACTCTCATTCCCTGTACAACAGCCCAGTTCAACTGGGCTGCAGCAAATGTAGCTAACAAAAATGCAGCAAAATAAACATTTTTCCGCAAATTACGCCTGCTACTTTTGAACCCTGTGCAACTTCACCTAGTGATGGGATGCTGTCGATGTGCGAGTAAAATAATCAACTTGCGTTATGGAAAATGTAGTTTATGGTCAGTTCTGACTTTAAAGCAGCATCTACTTATTTTAAGACATTATTACATCTTTGAAGTGGGCCACGTAAATGCCATGGTGGGCCACATTTGGCTTGCGGGCCTTGAGTTTGACACACAATTTAGAGCCTAGTGTTAACAATGTAGCGCTCCGCTACCCCTCCCTCCACACCCTGTTATTAAGAACTATACCACACCGCTCCACTAACAACCCCCAACCCCTGGCGGCACATCCTGTTTCAGCAACCAGATATTTCAAAACAAAAGTCTCTTAAAACGAAACATTACCATTACCTTGTGAATGCAAAACCTTTGTGTGGGAACGCAATAAGTATTATGAGGCAATGCAAAAGAAAATAATCTCCCAATGTCCCCTTCGGGGCTCCGTAGGAAGGAATGCATTTTTAGTCTGGTAGATATTGTCCTAAATCTGCGTTATTAACCCGACATGCAACTATACTCCTTGAATAGTGTATGTTGCAGGGATGAAGTGAAATATGACACGAGGAAAGAGTTGCTTATAATCCAAACCCGGCTCAGCAGAAGCCAAGACAAAAGTTTGAATGGAGTGTCAGAACCAAAAATATGTGTTTCTACTTTGAGGTGTGTGAGCAAGATGTACAAGACCACCTAAAACAGTATAAACCAGTAGGACTGTTCTCAGTGTATTGCAGATCAACAATCCACAGCCTATTTGTACGGGTTTTGGACAGATGAGAGGTACAACTATGTGAAAACATACGACATGGGTATGTTGAGTTAAGAAGTAATAACAATGCAAAGGTTTTGTCATCTATTATTAGGACAAATAAGTTGCATTTTAAAAAGAAACTCCCAAATATAGAGCTGGTTTAGCTGCCAACTATGACTAATATTTCTGCAGCTGTTGGTTTCTTGCAAAAAGCAACTACCAACACTTTACCAGTCACATAAAAGTATTTTCCAAAGTATATTAAAATATATTCCAAAATAAACAGATCAATGATCTGAGCCATCTCTGCCTACAGAGCAACTATGCATCCAAGAAAATCAGTGAAACTGATCTCTAAAGTGTAT